TCCTGTATGGAGAATTAGTGCAGGGACACTGCCTCTGAGGGAGACCACAGCTCCGATACAAGGACATCTGCAAGCGGGATCTGAAGGCCTTAGGAATGGATCTCAACAGATGGGAAACCCTGATATCTGAGTGTTCAGCCTGGAGGCAGGCGTTGCATCACGGCCTCTCCCAATTTGAAGAGACATTTGTCCAGCAGGCTGAGGCAAAGAGACAGTCACAAAAGCAGCAAAATCAGGGAGCTGGACAGGGGAAAGATTGTATTTTTATGTGCAGGGTGGAAGGGATTGTCTCTCTCAAATTGGCCTTTTCAGCCACACTAGACGCTGTTCCAAGTCCTCCATGCAGAGCACGATAGCATAGTCTCTCGAGACTGAAGGATGCCTATGATGAGCTCATCTAATTTCTAGAATTCAGGAGTTTAACCTGTTGGCCACAGTTTCACTGGGAGAAATAGGGAGTTGTGATCATTCAGTCATCAAATTAAAGGATAACTTATCAAGTACAGATTTTGGAAGATGAGTAGGAGAAAAAATACTGGGGGAAAGTGGAGCCCCTAGTTTCAGTTAATATGTTTAATGATTTACCAGAGGAAATAACTGAACCTTATATAGGAAAATAAATATTTCTCTATATAAATTTAGTTCAGAAGCAAGTAATGTTCCTAATCAAATTGTATTACAACCTGGATGGTAAGCACTACGGGATACCAGAAAATAGAAATGGATTGGATTACTCCTGTTTCAATATCGTTCCTGTTTGGCCTTATGATGATGTTGCTTTTGAAAACTAGGGGTTTCTGGAAGAACAGCTCTCAGCTTCGTCCCCCAGGACCCTGGCCGTTACCGCTTGTTGGAAATCTTCTCATAATGGATCAGAAAAGGCCTTTTAGGAGCATGCTAAAGGTAACATTTTCTGTTCTTTTCTTCCATGCAAGGCAAGGAGGATATAACATTTCAGCCTTCAGTGTAGGTAACTATGTGCAAAATTAGAAATTAAATGTTGACATGTACTACTGAAAAATAAGTATATCTTCTTTGATCACCTTTAGGTTCTCTCCAAATAATGTATCCTTCAAATGGTTATTTCTTATCTTCTTGCTCAAAAATGAAAGTAGTTTTCAGTTTTAAAACAACACAGTCCTTAGAGAGTTTAATTAAGTATACAGGTTCCTTAGCTTTCCCTTCAAAGACTTATGCAAAAAGAACCATTTTTCTAGAAAAAGAAATGAATTTTAAGATCTTTTACCATGCCAGCGATACAGAGGTTCAGCTCTTAGCTGGTCATTCCCCCAAGCGGAAGTGACGTCCGCACTCACCAACTCCCAAAGTAAATGGTTCCACTGTCATACTGCTTTAACATTTAGGAAGTTTTCCCTGATATTCAACTGAAATTTGGCTTCCTTGAACTTCAGCCCATTGTTGCGTGTCCTGCACTCTGGGATGTTCGAGAACAGATCTTGCCCTTCCTCTGTATGACAGCCTTTCAAATATTTGGAAAGTGCTATCGTATCACTCCTCAGTCTTCTTTTTTCAAGGCTAAACATGCCAAATTCTTTCAAACTTTCCTCATAATGTTTGGTTTCCAGCCCTCTGATCATCCTTGTTACCCTCCTCTGAATTTGTTCCAATTTGTTAGCATACTTCTTGAACTATGGTGTCCAGAAATGATATTAGTTTTGAAATTGAGGAAGATTATTCAAATCTATCTCCATTCCTGATGGTCAGAAAGTTTGCTGCTTATGTTTCTCATTTTTTTCTTATATTGAATTTCACTTTTTCTTCCCTTGAATTTCAGTTGTCTAAACAGTATGGTCCTGTCTTCAGACTCCAAATGGGAATCCAGAAGATTGTGGTCCTGACTGGGTATGAGACGGTAAAAGAGGCTCTGGTCAACCAGGCTGATGCATTTGCGGAGAGGCCCTTCATCCAACTCATTGAAGAATTTTCAAATGGCTTTGGTGAAGTCCTTTCTCTCGACAAGCCTTTCACTTCATAGTTATGCCCAAAAAGCAGAAGGTTGACAAATGGGGGTAAACTACTGGTGGCTGTGGGTATGAGTTGCACTAAGAAATCATGGAACAGAATGATAGGAGTTTCACTAGATGGGGTAGGAAAGGAATCCACAAGAAGGGAAGTGAGGGAAGCATTTCCACCATCAGGAGGACCGAGGGAGCTGGTGAAGTGAGAGGTTGGGTAATGATTGTAGGAGTCAGATCTGAAGTTGACTCTAAAGATGAGCAGGAGAGATCCAGCAGAAGCTATGCATTGTAGATAGAAGAACAACGTTCAGTTTCACAGGGCATCATAAGGGAAATAATGGAGGTGATGCTGTTTAGTGGAATTAACAGACTGTTGAAGTGAGCTTTTGAGTGACAGATGGGACAAACTGTGGTCTCACACATTGCTTCCTTCACCCCAGCCCTCTGATTTTTTACAGTCCTCAAGTTGTCACCTTTTCCATTTGTGCTTCTCATTATAATTGCAGTATGAGTGATATTCATTTGGGACTAACTAGAAACTGTGTCATTGACTGTTCTCCTCAAGGTATCACTGTTTCTCATGGTGAGAACTGGAAAGTGATGCGGCGGTTTGCCTTAACCACATTGCGAGACTATGGAATGGGCAAGAGATCCATAGAAGACAAAATTG